GGTGTCTGATTCAGAGTCTGATTCAGAAGCTTCACTGTCTTCTGATATGTTAGCCATGAGAGCTATGTTTGCTCTCTCATCATCTGATTCTGAGTCAGCTTCAGACGAGTCAGAGTCATCCCATGTAGCCATGAGACTCTTCTTCTTTTCCCTTCCAAACTTATTTTTGGGATTTTCCCTCTGAAGCTTTGGACAGTCACTCTTGTAGTGTCCTTGCTCGTTGCATTCATAGCAGATGATGTCCTTGGTGTTTGGCTTTCTGCTTCCTGAAGAGCCTTCAGATTTTCTGTATCCAGAGGAGGAGTCTGACCTTCTGTATCTGGAGGAGGACTCATTCTGACCGGATCTTCTGGTATTCATGAACTTTCTTTGCCTCTGCTTCCGTAGTTGATTCACTCTTCTGGAGAGGAGAGAAAGTTCGTCTTCTTCTGATGAGGACCCATCAGAGGTTTCTTCAACAGCCTGCAAAACTTTGGAGTCAGATTTTCTGTTAGATTTTAAAGCTAAAGGCTTACCTTGCTTCTGAGGTTCATCAGCTTCTAGCTCTATCTCGTGACTTCTGAGGGAGTTGATAAGTTCCTCCAGAGAGATTTTGTTGAGATCTTTAGCTAGCTTCAGCGCTGTAACCATTGGCCTCCACTGTTTTGGCAAGCTTCTGATGATCTTCTTGACATGATCAGCAGTAGAATACCCTTTGTCCAGAACTTTGAGACCAGCCACCAGAATTTGAAATCTTGAGAACATCGTTTCAATTGATTCACTTTCTTCCATTTTGAATGCCTCATACTTCTGAATGAGCGCAAGAGCTTTAGTTTCTTTGAACTGAATGTTGCCTTCATGCATCATCCTGAGAGAGTCAAACATACTCTTTGCAGTGTCTCTGATAGATATCTTTTCATATTCAGCGTAAGAGATGGCGCTGAGAAGAATAGTTCTGGCCTTGTGGTGATTTTTAAAGTCACGCTTTTGTTGATCAGACATTGCCTTCCTGTCAATATTCTGACCACTTGCAATCACTGGGTGCGTGTATCCATCTGTCACCATGTCCCACAGATCAGCATCATATTCCAGAAAGAAGCTTTCAATTCTGTCTTTCCAGTAATCAAAATTCTCTCCATCAAAGACTGGAGGTTTGCCGCTGAATCTGTCTCTATCTTCATTGTTGTCATTGCTGGTGTGTTGATATGTTCCTGCCATTGTGTTTTTCTGATGCTGGATATTGTACTGACATGGTTAAGTGTTTTAGCTCAGAACCAGGCGCTCTGATGCCAATTGAAGAAGTGAAAAACACAAGAAAGGGGGTTGAATTGTAAAACTTGAAATCAAATGCAGTCAACACGTTATTTTTATCCTGGTTCGTTTGATCTCAAACTACTCCAGTCCACCCGTCAAGGTGATTTCGCCTCTCTCCAACGAGGTCTTAATCCACTATATTCAACTGAATATTACAACTGCTTTAACAACTGCTAAAGCCTTCTTGAGTCTAAACCACAAACCGGTTTCTCAAGGAAATTCTTTCTTACAGATAAATGAATACTATGTGTGTTGAATGTTTTCTACAAAAACTTTATATCACAACTGTGATAATACACAAATTAAGCTTATGTGAAACTAGGATGCTATGACTATAGAGTAAACAATTTGAGAGATATAGCAAGCTGTATGAGTGAGGATGAAGATGATTTGCTTTAGGCGTGTAAAGAGTTGTAGAGCATTAGCCAATTCATTTCTCACTGACTTGTTTATATAGCCTTTGGAAAAGATACGTTGTAGTCAATTATTCCATTTCAATTCCCATTACGTTCTTTCCATATTGAGAAGATCTTTGTCTTGGAATATAGCCGTTGGTAATAAAGTGTCTTGAATGCACAGTACCGTTGTCAATTAAGCGTGTTATTGGCATTGGCTTATTCTGACGCTTCTAGGTGCTGATGGTATTGTTTTGGTCTTGATCAGAGTTTAGAGTATGTTAAGCGCAGATCTGTTCATCAAGCTTCAGCGTAATCACATGCTTTGATCTTCTGATGCTGGCATATGATATTTCATCTTCAGATGTTGGCATATGATATTTCATCTTCTGATGCTGATGTTGACATTCTTATGCTGATATCCATCAGAGTTTCTGTAAATGCACAATATAGTTTTTAGGTAGCATATATGTCTCATATGAATTATACAATTTATTTAATCTAGCATTTTGTTATCATCAAAACTATAACTTAGGGTAGTAGATTCAAACTTTGTTCTAACACCTACTCCTCAATAGTGGGATAGCACTGCCTAAAGGACATTTACACAGTTTAATTCCTTTTTGAGTAGGTAGAGGTTCTTAAGTACTTGCTCCTTAAAAAAAAAACTTTTCACACTTACACTTTTCGAATAAAGTTTTCAAAACACTTCATTACACTCTTGAGGACAGAAGCAAGAGTTAAATCGAAGTTTCAAACAAAACTCTTTTCAAAACCCACAAACACAAAGAAAAGAAAACTTATGAAAACATAGTGAGCAAGTACCTAAGAGCCCGTGGATAACCACTGATAGAAAGGGTGCTAACACCTTCCCTTTCTATAATCTACCTCCCGAACCCGAGAAACATCTCGAGAAGGAATTTTTCAGTGCTTTTGTCCTTTCCTTATTGGATAAAATAAAAGACGGTGGCGACTCTTGCTTACCGCGACACTTTGCGAAAACAAACGCAAACGCGAACCAGCATTAAAAAATAGCCAGTTCTCATTCCCACCGATCACAGTTCCCATATCCTGGATCGTCCTAGTGTTGTGCTTCTAAAGCATAATAGTTGAATTGATCCATCCAGTGTTAGGAAGGTGTACTTGTTATTCATAAAGAGTCTTCAGATTTTTGTCTCTCGCTTTTTGTCCCTAATTTTTGCCTGGATCGCCCTTTCAGGTTATCAATCAACCGAGACACCCATTTTTACCTAAGTCGCCTTTCGAGTTTTCAACTTAGCAGGTTATTCTCTTTTTTTCCTCCTTTTTTAGCCCTAACTTTTGCCTAAGTCGCCCTTTCGGGTTTCCAACTTAATGGGTTTTTTTTATGCGTAGTATTTTTTGACTGAGTCTGAATTGACTGGTGTAGCGGTAAAATCAATGAAGTCGCCACCGAGTATTTATTTATCCCATATGAAAGGGAAAGGAAAATCATCGAAGAAAAACCTAAAGGGGGAAATCGAGGTCTTGCGACCGAGAGATTGGGTAAGGGAGTCGATTACGGGAGGGAAATGTATTAGCACCCTACACGTCCATAATACTCTATGGGATCCACTCTCGTTATTCTAATCAAAGGGTGTGTTCAATCTAATGCTTAAGAGTTATAAACTAAGAGGGAATGCATGCAAAGAAAAGAGAAAGAATGTAGGGAAAATAAAGTTGTACTCGCTTGGGCCCTTCCCCAATGCCTACGTATCCTTTTTGAGGAATCAGAGCTACCGTAGTTCGGCTCATATATTTTGTTTGTTTGTATTTTTTTTAAATGAACAATGTTGCATTCGATCATTCCACTGCTTCTCAACCTTTGGAGACTTATGACCTATAGTGGAAAGGAGCTAACATGCTCTTATAAGAGAACAGCCGAATAGCGAAAAGAAATGGATTGGTTGGTATTTTTTTTTTACCATGAAAAGAATTTTTGTATCATTAGCATTTTTTATACATTTGCCAAGAAAAAAAAGAAGTTTTAGTTTTAAATGCAATTATGCAAAAACGGGAAGAAAACATCTAAGGGAGACTAACCTATCTCTAACCTAATGTTATCATACAATGAGGGATCCTATCTAAGTTAGCATGCCAAAGAAAGTCTAGCAAACTATCCTATAGGGAACATGCACTGAGAGCGAAGTCGTGATCTCAATTTCTAAATTGAGTGTCTCATCGATCAACAAGAAATGAAGGAAAGCGATAAAATCCTATAGGGAGCATGCATTGAGAGCGAAGTTATGATCTCAATTGCTAAATTGAGTGAATCATCAATCAACAAGAAAGGAAACAAACACAAGCACAACACATAACGAAAATGAAGTGCGGAATGCCTACTACAGATCTTTAAACAGCGACCTCGAGCACGCACTCTTTATTTCCTACTTCTCATGATATCTAGAAAAGAAATAAAGTGCTAGAAAGATAAATCGGAGTCAGAATGATACCGAATGAATAAAAGTTCATAGCACAACAGGAAAAGCAGAGAAACCCGGAAAACTTCAAGCGAGCTTCACCGATACCAAGAGATTAGCCAGGAATCAAATGCTCGGGATAAGCGTCGACGCATCATTGATGTGAAAATAAATCACAACCAGAGTCTCAAGAATATCACACAATAAACCTGCATAAGACTCAGATTTCAATAAGCAAAGGTGAATTACAAATCTCAAGTAATCGGATAATCCTGATTTAATTCCTAAAATCAAATAAAAAAATCTAACAATTTTATTGATCTTATTATTTTTTATCATATGAATAAAGAGTTCAAACAAATCTAAATAATTCACAAAATTATTTAAAAGAAATTACTAATAGAATGATCTCAGGGGGTGCAAGCCAATAATGCAGGGGGTATGATATAGCAGGGCGCTAGGCCCAGTAGAAATGATATATGGTGTTATTTTTGTTGCAAAAACACGCTCAAGATGGGTGTAGCATTGATCTGGGCGCTAGGCCCATGCAGCTTTTGAGTCCACAATACTGTTTTTGTTTGATTTCTAACCTGATGCCAAAAAATAATAATGGACTTAGAGAGAAGAGTCTGGTTCAACAATAATACAACCTATTTTCCATGTTTTGATTATTATTATACAATTTACCAAAATTAAAGGAATGATAAGATGATACGTAAATAATAAAGAGTTTGAAAAGGCATTAGGGTTGGAAATGTGTGTGTCGTTTCAGTTCTCATGAGAACAAAGTTCTCTTCGTCTTCTATAACTCACAACTGCGGCATCCAACTTCTCATTTGATCTATCTTCTCTGGTCTTCGATTCAAGGTCAACTATGCTTTATCTCGAACTCACATCCGTCTTCGACAAACTCAGACGCAATACCGTCATGCCAAGCTTTGTCGACCGCGAATCCATCGTCTCAACACTCGACCTCTGTCTCCTTCGCGATACTCTTCAACCTCTCTGTCTCAATCTGTCAGCATTCTTCATCCTCATCAACTCTCGATTGTTCAACATATCTTCACTTGTGATAGCAGTTGCAACAAGAACCAGAGGGCAGTCCCTAGAGATTCAGGTACGCATCATTGATTTCACTCACGTTTCTGCATGTGTTTGGTACTCATGTTGCTGTGATATGATTCATATTGATGAAGATGTGATGGTTGAAATTGTGTGGAGTTGTAGATGCTTAGTTGTTCTTGATTCAAAAGACGATGAAGCTTGAAGAAGATTAAAGATGTGGCAATAAAGTTTGTCGCAAAAAGTTGAAGGTTCCAGGTTCGTAGAAAAGTGAAGGTTGTGGATAAGGAGCGGAGAGAAGAGAGTTTCTGAGTTTTTTTTGCAGTGGTTCTTATGAATGATTGAAGAATGAAGATGAAGAAGAGAGGAGAAGAGAGTGCAGAGAAATTTTTTGATGTTGTTACAGATTCTCAATCAGTTTTTCTGGTGAATCCCCCTCTCAGATCTTTTCTCTGGCTTTTTGTATTGTGAATGTGAATTCTGAACTCCCTCCCCCCTTTTCTGTTACATGATTTTCTCTTCGAAAAAGTTTGTTAGAGATCTCTATTCTGTTAGTAATTGGTTATAAAAACGGTTATGAATTAGTTAGAAGTTCTATTAGTTAGTTAGGAAGGTTGGGAAGTTGGTTACAGTTAGTTGTTAAGCTGTTAGATGTTGTTTTGATAGTTGGTTAGAGGTATGAGGCTAGGAACTTTTTCTGCTAAAATTATTTATATGATTCTGTTGTGAATTCAGTTGAAAAACTGTTAGTTTCGATTAGGAGGTTTTGGGCTGTTAAACAGGGCTATTAGGATATGGTTACAGGGCTGTTAGGAAATGGTTACATGGCTGTTAAAAATTGTTTGGAATTTGTTATAGGCTTTGTCAACTTTTATGTGTTTTTGTATTGTATATGAGGTACGTATTTGGCCATAGCAGATGGATATGTTCTGGTTAAACTTGAATTGTATGGTGCTTAGCTTATGGAATGTGTCTTGGGTTTGGAGTGACATCGTGATGACATGTGCTGTAGTGTATTAACCTTCAGCCTTGTCATGAACTTTTTCATTTGTGCATGTTAAATTGTGTTGTTGGAACTGATGTAGACATTGATGTGGCAGGTTATGTTCGATGGACATCTGTAGTAGCAGCCCGAATATTAGCAATGGTGAGATGGCTCGAAATAGGTGAAGTGCAAAGTAACAACGGAATCAAGGTGAAAATGGCGGTTATGATGAGGCTCTTTGTTTGAAGGATGAAAGACGAAGTCTAGATTTTGGATTTATTTGATGTAATTCTCATTTCCTATGCGATGTACTTTATGGTATTGAAATATAGTATGGTGTATTAGAATGATGGATGTTGTGATACGGTGGGAGAACTGACTTGAGGTTTTGCGTTTGTGTTCGCAATAGTGCGGTTTAGCAAGAGTCGCCACCGACTTTTTATTTTATCCAAAGGAAAGGTCAAAAAGCACAGGAAAGACCTTTGAGATGTTTTCTCGGGTTCGGGGGGTAGATTATGAAAAGATAAGGTGCAAGCACCCTTTTCATCCATGGTTTTCCATGGGCTCTTAGTTACTTGTTTTTTTAGATCACTTGCTTTTGCTTTTCAATTGTTTGAAATGGTGCTTTGTGTGTGTGGTTTTTGAAAATGCTTTGAAAAAGAGGCCTTGTCTAGGCAACCTTTGTAATAATTCTTGTTTGAATATATACAAAGGTGTTTGTCTTTTTGAAAAGATATTTCAATGTTTTGAAAGTTTGTTTTGAAATTGTGTTGTGATGTGTGTTTGAAAGTAGCAAGGATGTTTTGCAAGCTTTTGATCAAGTAACTAAGAGTTGTCTACCCTATTTTACTCAAAGATCTTTCTTATGTTTTTAAACCTTTTGACAGTGTTATTTCACCATTGCATTTGGTGAACAAACTTGTGTTAGGATGTTAAACGGGATAGGCGCGGGTCATCGTATAGACCATGATAGCAATTGTGTTAAGTATCTTTGGCAATTTTCTTGAGGGACTTGATCATTTTTGTTTAGGCAACCAAGATAGCGTCATCGAGGGACTATGATCTTTTGTTTTGTTTTTGTTTTGCCAAAGTACCCAACATGCATAACATGGCCCATTTTTGAAGGCAACAAGTGGATTGTAACCCTAGGGGTGCAAGTGTGCATTGTGTTTGATTTTCATGCATTTTTGTCTTTAATTAGGTCAAGCTACTTGTTGATTTGGATTTTTGCATACAAACCCTAATTCTCTAATCATGGCATAATTGAAAGCATAAAGTGCGAGAATTTAAAATTTTAAGCTATTACAACATGATTATGGGGATGGGGGTACGATTTTGAATGGGGGATATTTGACAAGAAATATAAACCCTAATTTACTATTACATCCAAATTGAATAACAATGCATAAATATTTAAATATATAATATTTAAATAAACAAAATAAATAAATATTAAATAATATGTATTATGCAAAAAAAAAAGGTTTTTGTTTACCTATGTATGTAAAAGTATTTTTAATGTAAAAAAGTATAAAGAAATAAATAAAAGATTTATTTAATTGTTTAAAGGATGAAACCCTAATTTCTTTAAGAAAATAAATACACTATATTATTTATGTATAATAAAATATATTAATATATAAAAAATAAAACACATTTAAAAGAAGTATTTTTTTAGTATAAATAATAAAAAAAAATAAAAATGTAATATTTTATATTTTTATTCTAAAGTATTTAATGAAATAAAAGTATATATATGTATACTAAATATATTAAATATGTACAATATAAAATAAAATATGTACAAAAACAAAATATATTTAGGAAAATATTTTTAGTATGAATAAAAATAAGGAACAAAAATAAAAGTATAAATTGTAAAGATTTTTCAAGTCTTAATAATATAAAAGAATATTTAAATGCTTTTAATGTTAGAAAAAAATTAAAATAAAATGCCAAATAAATAAAAAAATTATGAAAATATTTTTTGAGCATTTATTATATTTGGAAATAAATAAACAAAATCAGAAAAGTAAACAAAAATACAAAAATATAATTATTCAAGAAATTGGGCCAGGGGGTGTAAAAATGGAAAAGAGGGTGTCAAAAGCAAACAGGCCAAGCCCAGCCCAAATCTTCATCTTCAACCTCCAGCATTTTGAAAAAACGCGCTCCTGTTGTACAAACTTGGACATCCTGTATACTTGATCTATTGCAAAAACCCACAACATCAAACTTGTAGAGAATTTCGAGACGATTCCAACTATATAAAAAACTAATCCTAACTCTCAAAGACCAGAGAGAATTTCTCTGGCCCCAAAATCTGACCTAGTTTTTTCAGCATGTTCATGGATGAAATTCTCCTAGCACACTTAATATAAATGAAAATTGAGCATATGTACAGCTTAATGGTAATGAACACTACATTTTTTATTCACAAACCTAAGGCTAAATGTTCCTAAATAGAGAGATAGAAAGTGAAGAAAAACCTGTTTCAGTTGGATTCGTGTAGGGCAATGCAGTGCTTCTCAACAAGTTTTAAGATGTCTGGTAGCTTGCTTGAACTTCACTTGACCTTTTCCAATAGCTAGCTTGCCTTGAATGTCCTTGAATCAGCCTATAGAACTTAACCTGCACAAGCTTGAAATGAAAATGGTGGACACTGTAAATGGAGTTACAGTTGTCTTTTGGTGTTTGGGATAGCTTGAGTGAGTTGAATGGAAGGTGTTTGAAGCAACTTGGGGCAAAACGCACGAGCTAAATGAGCTGGGGAACTCAAGTTGCAGCACCTACCCTGTTTTGCCAAAGAAGTGTGATTTCTGGCTATGGGGTGTTTTGGGGCTCAAACACTCGTGTTTCTTGCTCAAAGGGTTGTGTCAAAGATGTTTGAAATGTTTGTGTTAGTTAACATTGGCCGGTTTCCAAGTTCTTAGGATTTTGACAAGTTTCTTGTTTTTGAAGCAAGAATGGGAAGTTGTGATTACAGGCCTGTACAAGCCATCAAATATGATGCATACTTTGCTCTTGGACCCTGCAATTTGTGGATTTGATTTTCCTTCTGAGATATGGACCAATGCTCAAGGGATAGTGGTTTGACATAAAGCACACTTTTGCAAAAATGGAAATGTACCTTTTTCTACTTAGGGCTTAGTTTTGTGTACAATGTCCGAATGGTCAAAACAAATGCTTAGACTGATGAATTTGCATTTAATTAAGGAGTGTGAAGTGGTTTAGAGGCCTGCAAACTAGTACAATGCATGCTGGTTTGAAAATGCAACTTGAGTGAACATGAATTTGCCATGGATACAAAGTGAGTTTTTGCCAACTTCAAGCATTCGATTCTCCCTAACCACAAATGTGTTTGAGGAGTTCTTGGACAATTTGTAAAGCTTGCAACATGATCTATAATCCATATTTGAAATGAAACTTGAGACTATAAGTGTAACTATGTGAAAAATGGCTAAGAAGATGGGTCAAAATCCTGCCTAAATTAGGGCAAAATTTCACTAAGTTAAAAGTTTTAGGGACCCTTGTTCAAAAAATCATAACTTAAGATCCAAGCTTCTTTTGGGAAAACTTTGTGAATAAAAGTTGTAGACTTTGTGGAGGACTACAACTTTCATGTTGTAAGTTTTGTTTTAATCCATTTGCATCATGGTGAAAATGTGGGACAAAGTTAGGAAAAATTAAGAAAATTTCATAACTTAGAAAAATTCTAAGTTATGAAAATTTTCAATTTCAAACCCTAATTTGCAATTTTGGGTTTCTTGATGAACAAGTTTCATAATTTGACACATCTTCATGAAAAATGACCCTTGGCACTTGATTTTGACCAAAAAGTCAAAGTTTGACTTTTTAGTGTACAGTCAAATTTTGATCAGTTGACTGAAAAATTCATCTGTCAATCCCATGCATTTGAGATCTTTTGAACTTGTTGAATAGGTCAAGATGATGCCATTGAGCCCTTGAGTCCTTGGTTGAGCTTAAATTTCCATTGGTTAAGTCAAAAAGTCAGAAATTGCCTTTGTACAGTCAAAACGCTAAAAATGACCATTTTGCCCTTTTGGTGATCTGATCAAATTTCTTGTGGAATTATGGTCCAAACTTGATCAAATGGTTCATATGAGTTCATAATGTTGATGTGGGTCAAAATTCATGAGATTTGACTGTAAATTGGCCATAGTTGACTTTTTCCCCAATACAGCTGATTTCTAGGTCAACTGTCTAATTGACTGGGCAAAAATTTGATTCAAGGCTTGAAACTTGGTATGGACAAACTCATGAGTCCAACATGAAGCATGAAAGTCAATTTGAGCATTGAAGGTCCAAAAATCCTTGTGCAAACTCAAACCCTAATTTAGGTCATCAGTGCAAGGAGATGTCTTGAGCAGAGCAAACCCTAGCTTGATCCTGAGTTCCAAGAGCCTTGTGATGAGAAATGTTGATAAAATGAGAGGGAGAATTTTGGGGGACAACAGTTGCCCCTGTTCAATCTTCTTGAACCTGAAGAGTTAAATTGGCAAGTTTGCCTTTCACGACTCGAAGGTAAAAGAGGATTGGACACTAGAGTGCCCGTAAATTTGCACTCGCCAAAAATGTAGCTGAGGGAATGGGCTTAAAGATGCCATTTGGAGATGGTAGAATCTTGCTGGAGATGGGCTTAAAGATGCCATCCAAAAACTTGTTTGTTGAAAATTAAGAAAATGAACATCAGAATGGTATCCGTATTTAGAACGTATCTGAGTTGTATCTGGAGACTGGGTTTGTATGAGCAAGGGAACAGCGTCCATGTCTGGAGCGTATCTGAGCTGTAACTGTATTTTATTCTTGAATGAATATCAGAATGACTGCCGTGTCTGGAGTGTATCTGTATTCTGAATGGGTGATAGAGAAACATCTGCGTATGGAGCATCTCTGTGCTGGGGATAAATTCCGAATGAGTGACAGAATGGAAACCGTGTCTGGAGCTTATTTGGACTGTATCTGAAGTTAAGATCTGTATGAGTAGCAGAATGACTTCCGTGTTTGGAGTGTATTCGTACTGTAACTGGGATCCGGTCAAGTGACAGAATGACTTCTGTGTCTGGAGTGTATCTGAACTTGAAGTTGATAGTTGAATCTGAATGAGAAATAGAATGGCCACCGTGTCTGGAGCGTATCTAGTTTGTATCTGATTGCTGAAGTCAGAATGAGTAATAGAATAACCGTCGTGTCTGGGGGTGTATATATATTGTATCTTGACTTGA